TGTCATCGCCACCTCCTGCGTTATTATTATTGTTGTTGTTGCTATTGTTGTTTGTATTATTGTTGTTGGTATTGTTGTTATTGTTGCTGTTGTTGATGACGCCCACTAGACTGTTAACCAAACTATTCTCGTGCGCCTGCTGTTGTTGCGCCACCGCAGAGGCGGTATTAACTGTGGGCGTGGCATTGTTTGTTGCCGCAAGATTGGCATTTGGTGTGGCTGGATTATTGTTGTTGTTGTTGTTATTATTATTGTTGTTGTTGAGGGAGGCATGGTTATTGATTAAGATATTGAGATTGTTGTGATTGAGTATGTTATTATTATTGTTGTTATTATTATTATTGTTGTTGCCGCCGGGGGTGTTTCCCGTGCTGGTGTTGCTGTTGGCATGTTGCAGGTTGTTGGCTGCAACTGCCACCACCGCGGCGGCCGCATTCACATTCACATGAGCCAGATGCTGCAGATGATGCTGCAACAGTTGCGTGGGTGGCGGCAACGTGCCATTGGCAACATTGTTGCCATTGCTGAGATTATTGAGCAGTTGTTGTTGTTGTTGCTGCTGCTGCTGTTGCTGCTGCTGCTGGTGTTGCATGTTGCTGCGTAGCAGATTATTGTTGCAGGTCACATTGAGATTGGAATTGCTGGTGTTGCTGTTGGCGTTGCCCGTGTTGCTGCCGTTGCCGGCCAGCAAATGCGGCAGATTGTGCACCACTTGGAGTGGCAAGCTGCTCAGCGGCGGCAAGGCCGTTGCCTGCGACATGTTGCCCAGCATTTGCTGCTGGTGTTGCTGCTGCTGCTGTTGCTGCTGTTGTTGCACATTTTGGAGCAGTTGCAGCTGCTGTTGCTGGTGCTGCAGGCCATGTTGCTGCTGCTGCTGTAGCGCCAATGCTGGCGGGGGCATTTGGTAGTCCATTCTCATTGCTGAGATCACAATTGCTCAAATTCCTTGCTCACTTCAGAGTCACTGGCTGCATGTATCACTTAGCTGGCCAAGTGTGGCCCAAACATATTGCTGCTGCGGCACTGGCTGTTAACTGCTAACTTAATTAACGACAAATTGGAATTTTAAACTGAACAACCGAAAAGCTTTTTATCGCACGTTGCTGCTGTTGCTGTTGCTGCTGTTGCCGCTTCTAATTGCTCGTGGCGATCGCTCGCACAGCAGCAACATCAAATGGAGAGCGAGCTTACACACTTGCACACTTTGCTACTCAGAATTTGGCGAGTGCTTTGGCTTTGGCTCAGTTGGCGTTTATTTTTTGCACTCGCAGTTTTTCTATTGTTTGTTTTGTTTGCCTTTTTCTATTATTATTCGTTGTCAACTATTCCGCGTACTGAGCGCTGTTTTATTTAATTTTGCTCCGCTGTGTGTGGGGCTGGGTCCGTTCGTTAAGGGGTTCGGTTCTCGCTGCCCGCCGCTTTTGAATGAGAAAAGTTTGACCTTGAAGCGGCAACACAAACAATACAAAAACACACAGCAAAATGTTTTGCTATGCGTTTTTGCTATTTGTCAGCCCGATCGTCGCACTTATTTATTGCGGATTGGCTTTCAAAGCGAATATTTTACCGTAGGATTAATTTTTTTCTAGCAGATAAAATGCTTGTGTTGTTGATCAAAAACTTTTAATATTTTTTGGGATGTTACTAGAAGTATTTAAAATATATACAAATAAAATGTTTGTAACAAATGCCAAAATTTTAAAATCTTTTAAATTTTATTCAGAGTGTAAAGAATTTTAAAATATGCAAAGAGAATTTTATATATTTTCTCAGCCTTAATTTGCTTTCAAAATAATACGAAAGACTAGAAATATTAAACGATGGTATTAAATATTCTAATTAAAGAATTTAAAGTTAGCACTTTATTCAGTTTTGTTTTTATAACATTAGGAAGTCATTGAGAAGGCAAGCTAAGTTTTTAACATTTTATATTGTTTGTGTATAAGCTCTTTTTTCCCATTTTAAAAAGTAGTGTTCGGTTCTAGTTTTGAGTATAATTTTTTTATTAGATGTCATTCCTCTTTTCAACTATGTATAAACACCTCTGATTTATAAAAGATGTTTTGCTTTATATATTCAACATATAAAAGTTTATGTGTCGGTGTTTTTATGTGTTATATATGTGGGCAATTTAATTCAGGAATTCCAAGTATTCTTAAAAATTTCACATAAATGATCTCTGATTAATTTCTTATTTTTGGGAGATCATATAATTTGGAGCACTGCACAATACGTTTTAATCCAAGATGAGATGGGTGGCTACCAGAGGATCGATCCTCGCCAGAAAGCGTTGGGTGGAAGATAAAGGAAACGAAAGTTCACAAGTTCGCACGAATTCGAAAGCGTCGTGCTAAAGACGAAGACACGCGTCGTATACGTATTATTTTATGGCTTTTGCTTTTTTGTCGGCGGCTTGGTATTGGTGAGTGGGTTTTGGGTTTGGGTTTTCGGGATTGGATCGCTGGCTATATAGTATTCGATTTGGTTTTTCTGTTTTTGGTAGAGAGCCGTGAACCGAACCGGTGCCGCCGGACTGCGAACGCTGAGTGAACGCGCGCGTCCAAATCGCCATGCAACGCAGCTTCGCAGCTGAGCAGAGAAAAGCAGAGAAACAGAGAAAAGCTGGGGAAGCGAGAAAAAGAGCAGAAGAAATAACAAATAAAAGCCAAACTTGAAACCGAAAGCATGAAAGCCCATCTTTCTCTTTCTGCCCGCTTGATTTTTTTGCGCATTCCGCCTGTTTACTTTCTTCCGCGCCGCCTGCCAAAGTTCGCTTCTGTCGCCGTCGACGTCGTCGCTGACGTTGGCTTCGCTGCCGCCACGCTTGGCGGGAGCTGCGCTGCCGACGGCGGCGTCAATGCGGAAGCAGATTTTCCGCCGCCGGCAGAGGCAGCAGCTTTGTTTTGAGTCAATCGCAAAAGCTTTCCGCTCGTCTAATTGAGTGAGATTTTCTAAGCTCATATTTGGTTTTTTATAATAAAAAAAAACAAAAAATATGATTTCTTTTAATTCCGAAGATACATCAAAAGTCTGATAAAAAAATATTCTCCAAATTGTCCTATATATTAATCATGATTTAACCTCTACGATCATACCATTTATATAGTAATTGTTTTGAAATGTAACTTGCTATTCAGAAATTAAATTCCATTTCTGTTTTATTAACCCCGGGTTCAAATCGTTCGCTGTGATTAGTATTCTTAAATTGAACCACATTTAATGTACTTAGCTCATGTTTCCTATGTTATACTTAATACCACATTAAAACCTTGTTTTCCTTTAAATGATTAATGTTAGTCAATGAAACAAGACAAAAGCTTACCAGCACAATACAAAACATATTATTTGAAAATAAAGGAGACATCATTCCAAATGGTTTTTGATGCTTACCTGGAATAGATAAAATAAAAATGGCATTTTAAAAAACTGATTTCATTTACCAAATTACAAAATATCAACTTAATTATTTATTATTCTACATGGCAACAATTTTTCTCAATACGCGATAGATCAAACGAAAACAAGTGAGAATTAATTGAGAGATATTTGGTTTTGTCAAGGGTGGCGGAAATTTCCCATGCATGGGGGGCCCACCCACAGCGACAACTGACATTTATCCATTTTAGCTTTCCCCGCTCTTCCCACATACAAAAATAAAATTCATACAAATTATTGTACGTTCCGCCTTTAAAAGGTCATATTCGGTGTATTCAATAGCGAAAAATTTCACCGGCCCCAGCAAAAAACAAACAGAGATGGAAGACCACCCACATTTCATTTGCCATATGCATTTCCATATCATCTGCCATAAAAATCTCATCAGCCTAATTCCAAAATCTAATCAAACCAAATGCATTTTCTCAACGGTGACCAACTGAGGTCAGTTTAACAAAAAAGGGAAATGGGAAAAAAACATGGAAATTGGTGGCAGCTTAGCCGCGAATTTCAAAAGGATTTGTGCCAAATGCATTGACAAAGTAGATCTTTTGATCTGTGAAAGGATGGGTGAAAGGATGTGCCAAAAAGAAAAGTAGAAAGTTGCAGCCCAAAAAAAAACCTTTTCAGCGGACCTAAAGCAAACTAAATGCCAAGCACATGTGTTTAATTAATAATAAATGGAAAATTTAACGGCATATGAATTTATTTTCCACTTCGATTTGCCATAAAATGTGAGATTTTACGTAGATTATTTATTAAGAAGCCGCTATACTGATAAGATATAGATTGTGTATATAGCCACTTAGCATTTTTGTGTTATATACCAAATACAGTTATTTTAACTACAACGCAATTTAGCCTAGGTCGCAAAAATAAATATTTCTTTATCAATTAAAAAGAGCAAACAGCAATAAAACATGAAAATTCTATTGTGGTAGGCTGCAAACCAATAAACTTGACGATCTTCCAGTGCAAATAAACATTGGCCAATGGATCTACATTTCCAATTCTATTTCCTACTCAATTCAGTCAGTCTACTGTACCGATATACTCGTATATATTGTGTATATACATATGTGTATTTAGTAGACTATAGCTGAGCTCACGTGTGCGCGGCAAGCTTTCTTGACTTTTGCGCTTTACAAGCTCGCAGTGCGCAAAGTTCTCGGCCGCTGACGTCGGATGATATCAGCCCGGGATGCAGATATAGACGATCTACAGACATTTCGCGAAGGGAGCGCATATATTAAGCGCTTGCAACGGAAAAGTCATTTTCTAACGCAAGACAAGCTTTGTGGCGAAATGAAAAATCACCCAACTAGTCATACACATTAACAGTTGTTTTCGGTTTCCATTGTTTTTCTAGTACTTATTGTACTCACAAACCTAAATCGTTAACCTAAACAAAATAGAACAAAAAAATAAGCTAGTTTTAAATATTACTTCAGAACTAAATTACTAGAAAAATTCAATAGAATTCTTAATAGTTTAAGTGAGTGTTTGTTTTACAGCTTTTTCTGGTAATTTTCCCCTATTTAAGGGATTTTCCTTTGCCACCTCACCTGAACTCGCTGGCAGAAATCGTGCCTTTAGGCTGTTCAAATGGTTGTGATGCTCGTTGACAGCTGCTGCCACGGCATTTGCGACATGTTGCACGGAGGACACGTTGTTGTTGCTGTTGGTATTGTTGCTGCTGCTGTTGTTGTTGTTGTTGCCATTGTTCTGGCCGGGATTTCCAGCATTTCCACTGCCATTTCCCGGCACAACAGGATTGTTGTTGCCACTCGCATTGCCATTCGATCCCTGGTTGCCACTTGCAACCGCAGCTGCAACGGCGGACACATTGCTCTGAGGATCCATGAAGGAGTTGCGCTGATAGTGGGGATTCTCCTGGTAAATCCGCTGATAATTGAGAGTGGGCAGCGTCCACGAGTTGTTCGTCTTGTAGTGGAAGTTGCCGGTGCCGAAAATGGAGTGTGTGTTGGTGTTGCCGTTGGTATTTCCAGCGGCAGCAGCAACAGCCGCCGAAGAAAGTGTGTGGGCCAGCTGTGCGGCATGATGTTGCTGCTGTGCATGTTGCTGTTGCTGCTGTTGTTGCTGTTGCTGCTGCTGTTGCTGGTGTTGTTGCTGCTGCTGGTGCGTATGATGCGGATGCAGCGCATTCCCATGATGTTGCTGCTGTACGTGATGCTGGTGTTGCTGTTGCTGCTGCTGCTGCTGCTGCAGTATATGCTGCTGGTGTTGCTGCTGCAGGTGCTGTTGGTGCTGCTGATGTTGCTGCTGCTGCTGCTGCTGTTGCTGGTGGTGCAAGGATGCCGCCTGGTGTTGCTGCTGCTGCAAGGCCCAGGCATTCGCGTTGTTGTTGTTGTTGCTGCTGCTGGCATTCCCCCCTCCGCCACCCCCCTGCACTACTTTTTCCGGAGTCATTGCTGCTGACACTGCTGCGATGGTTGTCCATGGTTCCCGAGGATCCCGTCATGCTGCCATCGTTGCCACTGTCGCTGTTGCCGCTGCTGCTGTTGTTGCCACTGCTGCTGTTGTTGTTGTTGTTGTTGCTGCTGCCACTGTTGCCACTGTTTACCGCCGCTGCAGCAGCAACTTGCGAGTTGAGCTGCTGGAAGTACTGCGACAATGTGGCATTCGCATGCTCCTGGGCGAAGAAACTGGTGCACGAATTCGTATCCGACGACATGATCACTGGTTCTACAAACTGGGTTCGATCTTCACTGGGCTATCCTTCACTTATAACGGATATTCACTGTTTTGCGAGTCGATCTAGGTGATCACCTCCTTGTGTTGAACGTGGTTGAATTTGCTGGTGAGCAGTATAAACTTTGGGCCACGGCCGAAAGTTGTGCGCATTGTCTTTACACTTTTTGATTCACTCTACAGTTTTACTATATAGCATAAACTTTTGTGTCTGTGTTATCTGAAAATATTGTGCTTTCGTTTTGAAAAACCCAGATTAGTGTTGAGCACTAGGTTTTTTGCTTGTAATTTTTTTTGCCAGCCAATTGATAGCCAATTCGTTGTTGCTAATGACCAGGTGATAGTGGGTTTAAAATGTTGAGAGTGATTCAGTGTTCAGTGTTCGGTATAGGGAAGTGTTTTTGATAGTGACTGATAATGAGCTCGCTTGTTGTTTTGTGGTCAGGGAATGCACTTTGTTTGCGTCTATTTTTGTGTGACTTTTATTTAGTTTCCATTATTTTTTATTGATGATCATGATGATAAGGAATAAGAAAAGGCATTGTATAGTTGTGTATAGTTTGCGCTTTCTTTCAGTTCAATTAATTTTGTATAATAAGATTTTTGTGACGCTATAGAAATCTATAAGTGGATTCAACCGGTACAAAGGCTTTCCGTGTCTTCAAATAATTTTTGCAATGGAAATTTTCAAGTACAAGATCAAGTCCAATTCGTTGTTTTTTGTTTTTTTGAATTGCCAAATCAATCTGTATATCGAATTAACCGAGTCAAAGGCTTTACGTTTAACGGGAGACTAGGAAGGTTTTCTATATGTAAATCAAAACAAATAAATTATTATTTGCCAAATCAATTGAATTATCCTTGCTCTGCTGGTGACTAACTCTTTTTTCTCTCTCAGCCTTTTGTGAATACCTTTTCTTATTCTCAGAATTGGTTGCTGCTAAGAAATGAGATCGTTTTTGCTTTGGGTTTTTGCTGTTTCGGTATTTTTCTTTCTTGGGCTTGTTGTTTTGTTGGAAAAATAAAAGTAAATTAAACTGTTTGAAATTGTATCCGTAACTTTGGCGCCGCTGGACAGAGTTTGTCGCGAGATCTCCGGATCCCTCGCTCTTTCTCTCTCTGCCTTGTACTATCTCTTTCTTGCTTTCTGCATTTATTTCGCTTTTAACAATAGTTATTATTTGTATGGCACACACACACACTTTAGATCGATTTCACAATTGGTTGCACTTGAATTTTGTTTGAACAAAAATGATTTCCTTGAGTTAAAGTTCTTCTAGAACTTTTCTCGTTATTTGAAAAATCAATTTCAATTAATTTGTTTTGTTGGCGTTTGGAATATTTTTGTTTTTCCCGCTCGCGCTGGAAAAAAACACGGAACGAGCTGCGACGGTTTTCACATGAGAACGCGATGCGACAGAATGCCGGCCGAGTAATTTTCTCGGTCTCAATGTCCGTCTCTGGCTTTTCTCTGCCGCCGCCGCGGCCGCAGTCGCCGCCTCCGACGACGTCGCAGTCGACTCTACCGCTCTCTCAGCCAACTGAAATTGCAATTTTCTGCAAGTAAGTCGGCTTACGTAAAGGGCGGAGGTCCGAAAACAGCTCTCCCGCTCCCACTTTGATAATTATTTTTCAGGTTTTTTTTTATCAAAAGTTGGTGCCGCAAAATAATATTTATATGTGCAGACAGCTTGGTTCAGATTTATAGTAGTTTTACTATTTAATTGGTGTAAATATTACAAATTCCAAAAAATAGATCAACAATTTTATTTATTTTATTCCGCAAAAATTTTAATTAAAAATCTCCCAAAATCAAAAAAGAAAAATGTAAATTTTGTTTGCCAATAATCAGAATTTTGAAACCTATATCATGATCTATTTTTGTTTGCACTACATTCATACAAGTCTTATTTATTTAGTCCTATTATTTTGAGCCTTGCTATATGTATATTTCTAGATACTTGGGCCGCTCAGGCAGCGACGCCGACCGAGGCAGCGCTGCTGCGGCCAAGTCACGCGGATTTCAATATGACCCAAAGCCCACTGTCTAGCACAGTTCTAAGCACGTGTTGCGGACACACCGGCCACGCACACAGGCGCAAATTAATTGAGAGAGAGAGAAGTGCACGTTGAACGGCAAGCGCACTCGAAGATACGGATAGGCAAACACAGATACAATTGTAGATAGGGTAGCAGATAGAGGTACGAATACAGCTCAAAAGTTTCCAGTCGCTTCGCAATTAAGGGCCGTATCTCACCCCCTGCAACTGATATGAATGTGGCCAATATACTATATGAATATATATCAGCTGAAGTGCGTGGCCGAGTGCCGTGCCAATATTCGGTTAATTCGGCACAGATGCGTCTGCAACACGTGACGTATGCGTAATGTGCTCCACAGGATTGCCCCTGTGCCACTGACTAATTAACGCCGCTTCGCGGAAAGTAAGCCGATCTCTCCGGGGGAAGAGGATGGTTGTCTAGGGCTGAGTGTTTTGCTGTCTGGGTAAAGCCAACGCCACGGCGTAGTAGTTGCAACGGAGCGTATACTTAATATGAGTTTACTATTGCCGTAGGTCGCCGCTTGTTCTTGGAATTTTCGAAAAATATTCAAACTATTTGAAGTTTTAATTCAGGTTTTTATGAATATAATAATTGTTTGCTGTTGGCGTAGGTCCGGTATATTTTCTACGAAAGTTGTCTAGTTAACTCTCGTTATTTCCAAGCCACTTATAATATCGGAATTAACACTTTTTGCGTTACGTAGAACATCGATAAAGATACTTTACATATGAATAATTTTCTTAGAATGTTGCAAGGCTTGTTTTGTTATTGAAAAAAAAAAAACATTTCCTACCAAAACAAACAGAAGAATTTAAACCAAAATTATTTGAAAAATTAATAGCATTAACATTCAGTAACTTTTTCGAATATTTTCTTTTTTAATAAAATTAAACCACTTTCCAAGAATATCCTGTCGACTTTTCCACCCCAAAAGACTTTCACATACCCCCTGTTTTTCAACCTTGTGCCATTCTTCGGTCAAACAATCCCCCTTTGCTTTTGATAAGCCCATTCACCCCTAAAAACATATCAATCTGCATAACCATGGACCATGTGCGTTCTTCAGTCACCTGTTTTCACAGGCGAGACAATTTAGGGAAGATATCAAGCATACGCCCCGTGGAGCCAAGTGACTATTTTTAGGAACCGCGAAAGCAACAAGTCAACTCAAACTTCGGGAATCGGAAACACGAACTCGACTTCGGGTTCCTGCCAATGGCAAAAGGACGAGCGGCAGAGTTTCGCCATTGGCCGGGCTTATATGCCGGAAAAGCCGAGAAAAAGGAACCAATCCGGGGAGCTCTGCTGCAGTCAGCAGAGGCAGAGGACGGCGTCAACTGCGACGCTGGCAGAGGCGGCAGCGTTGTCAGGTTTTCTGTTTGTTTTGTTGTCAGTTGTTGTATTTTGTGTTATCACGTTTCGCTTCCACGTGCACCGGCCCCCCATTCGCTTGTGTGTGTGTGTATGTCTACTACGGTCGCACTCACACCGGGAGCCATCGAAAACACACCAACACACAGGCAGACCGCTCTCACATGGATACGGAATGGCGCTTCGTCGGATGAATGAGCCCTGAGAGCGGGAGAACGCGCTAAGCAAAACCAACTGAGTCCAAGACGAAGCTGTTGCTGGTTTATAAATAGCAATTTAAAGCATCGCACACACACATCCACATATCGAATCAATGAGTCACACACACTCGCACGGCATTATTTTGCATCTGAAGAACAAAATACAAAAATAAAACGGAAAAAAAAACTGCATAGATGTGCAAATAAAGCAAATTGTGCAGAATAAATATCGGAAGCGGGCTGAGAACACAAAAACAGAAGCAGAAAGTAAACAAAATAATTGCTGACATTTTTTAAATTTAAGAAAAACTTTTTTTGCAAATAATAAATAGGAAAACTATACATTTACACAGAACGACTATAAAAAGTGTAAAATTTGTAATTGTAATTGTGATTTTTAAGCACAAAGTTTAGAAACTCATTTTTAAACATGCAAATATATATCTGAAACAACTTATTTCCATAAAATATTTCCTTCCGTGTGACAAACTTTGGGCTTCCTAGTACTTGGGTGCCGTGGAATTTTTTTGTGCATTATTTCAATCAAATGTCGCCGCAGAATTGAGCCACTTACACAAAGAAAAGGCGCAGCCAGTCAAAACTTAATTAAACACTCCGTGATTTGCTGTGTTTGCATGGAAACCGTCTGGGGTTCTGGTTCCATATAGGGTTATTAGGGATCCGCTGTTGAGCGCGGTGTCTGGCATGGCGACGTTCAAGTCATTATACACGTGTTTAGTGCAGCAGGTCGTAAATTAACATTTTGCTAAATAATTATTTAGAAATGCTTAGGTGTTTAAACGTTTTTTACGATAGCGCGGCTAGCTTATTAAGGCCCAACGAGCAGTTGACCCAAATAGTCCAGCTACAATGACTTTAAGGGTTAAATATAATTTAGTATATATAGAATATCCCTAGTTTGACTTAATCAGGCCAACTATCCAGTTAGTTTTCATCAATGTTATTTATTCCAATGGGTGAGTAATGTTGTTTTATTTCCCTCAATCTCAACTGCCAACAAAAGGTATCGTTAGCATTTCTTGGTAATTTATTGAACATCAAATAGATGACTATAGCAGAAATGCAATTATAAGATTCTTAACAACATTAATAAAGTCATAAATAATAGCGGCTATTAAAAGTATTAATTACAAATAAAGGTGTGTTTAAGAATTTAAGGGGATATTAATTAAAGGCAGTAATAATATAAACGTATAAAACCTTGTACAAATCAAAAGCCATTATTGATTGTTGTAATTTAATTGTAATTAAGTATAAGTATACAAATTTTAAATTTTTTTGCAAGAACAAAAATTGAATTAAAACTTATCTAAATAATGTCTCTGTTAACCCGAAGATAGCATTTCTTCCAAGGTCTGAAACACGCCACACTTTCATTAATCAACTTAGCAATTTATTATCCAATCTTTGCAGTTTTGTTTTGTCTAAGCATTCATTCATTGGCTGGAAATTCCAAAGACAAACATGCGCCAAATCTATAGAACCGTCGCCGAATTTTACGGGTTTATAGAACAAGTTGAAGAAAATAAAAATTATATTGCGGGCGGCTTATCAGTGAGAGACTTGGCCAACAGGTTGGATTGCCTTGCCGCTGACCAGCCAATAAACTGAAATTCCATATCTACAAGCAGACATTTTCTTGGTCGGGGAATCAGGTGCAAAGTTGAAGTTCAGCAGTCGGAAATTGATTTACGTAATTAAAGTAAGGGGGAGTGCGGCAGGTAGAGGGGAAAGGCCCCCCTTTTTTTGGCCTTATCACCTGGCACTTTGGACTGGAAATTCGAGTAGCCAGAGAAGCGAAGAAATAAAAAGCGGCGAAGCTGACGTCGTCGCCTGGCCAAACATGTGACCCCGCGGGAAAAAACGAGGGGCGGAGAATAAAATGCGAAACAACAAACGAAGAGGAACGTCAGCAAACACGGCAATTTGATTTCGATTTCAATTGTTGTCGTAGGCTAGGGCAGCTAAGGTAGTAAAAATTCTAATTAATCGCTA